CTGTCAAGCCGCCTAAGGGATGCTGTGCGAACGACCGGCAAGGAATCCATCGTTGTAGACGAAGAGGGATAACGCGTACGTAAATTGTGTCATAATGGTAAGTCAAAGGGAGAAAGAGAGAAGGAACGAGAAGAAGCAAAGTGAAAAAGGGAGGCAGACCTCCCACGGTGAGCTTCACGCAAATGAGAGTGAAACGATCTGTAAAAGGGCGTTTATCTCTCCTGGCGTGAAACCGGACGGCGAAGACACGAAAAAAAAAAAGATGAAAGGGGTTCGGACATTCGCTTCGAAGTCTTCATTTATTGAACGAGAATCGATGACTGTGATTCGAATGAGTTCATTTTGCAAAATAGTATTTCTCTTGGTTGTTTGGATATTTTGGGGGTTAAAGATAAGATGGAAGTAAAATCATTATACCAAACATAATCCAAGTTCATTAGCATCAATTACACTGAAAACTTCATTACGAAGCAACATCGTTTCTTTTGTACGATAGCAATCTTACCCATCGACGATACTTCGTCGTCGCGTTGCATTTAAAAAAAGCAAAGCACAAAGCGACGACAGGCGATATAAAAAAGCGTGCATCGTGGAAGAGAAGAGGGATGAGTGTGTGAAAATAAGCGGACTGAAGAGTTAAAAAGACAAAAGGGAAAGCGCGCGTTACACGGGGAAGAAAAATTTCCCGGGGTCGCGACTGGCAGGAAGGGCGTTTATCTTCTCCGCCGGCAGGGTGAACGGGAGAAAAAGTGAGAGAGCGAGAAGGAGAAGAATGGAACGGGTAAACGTTGCCGAGAAAGACAGAGGATACCGATGCCAAAGGCTTGACGAAGTAGGAGGATCCTATTAAGCCGCTCAGCAGGCAGCACGACGAAGGTAAAGCTAGCCGCGGCACGCTTTTTATTATTACAAAATTACTGTGCACCCGTGCCGCGCTAAAAGGGAAGCTGGAAAAAATTCTGCTTGCTGTTACACACCACTGAGTGCCCTAATCGCGATGCCATTAGCATGTGGCTACCGTCACGAGTCTCCCTTTTCCGCGCTAAAATGAACGAGTTGCCGCGTTTTTCGGTATGAAACCTCCAGGGAATGTCAAGAAGATGTTTGTCACTGTGCCGTATGATTTGGATAATGTATTCGTAGACAAAAATTAGGATTTTTGAAGCCTTAACAATTTGAAGAATAGCCATGGTTAACACTGGATTAATAATAGCCGTTATGCAACTGTGATTATTGCAATTGAAGAATTATAAAGATCGAGAGATACAGTTAACCACGCGGAAAGTTTTTCTTGATGTTATAGCAGAGATAAACGAGCAAGGAGAAAAAATACGCGCAGCACATTTTGCATTTAACAGTGTTTGGTATGAAAACACATACGATCCGAAATATTCGTAAAATAACTCGTCACAGACTGCGGTATCGATTTATTTAATGCCGAATTTGAGGAAACCCCGTTTCATTCCTTGCACTTGTATAAATATGTCGTGTTTCTTTTTCCAAAGATGAAAGCGATACGAAGGCAGTTTACTGTATCACTTGCGCATCAAAATTCAACTTTATATTCTTACTTCATCACTGAGAATAATGGGTACGGGACAAATAAACGCAGTCAGAAGTAAACCATTTATTAATGTTTGTATGATTTTTGGAATAACAATATTTATATTTGAAAATTTTGGTTTTATATTTGGAACATTTCTGGCAAAATTCATTTTTCTTTGTAACCAAATATTTTGTTTTTTAACAAAACACGTCACTTCCTTATTTCAAAAGGTGCTTCTAGCTTTTATTAACCATTATTTTTTTTAATGCAACCTGATTGTACCCTAATTTCTCGCCAGATTTCTATTCCTTTTTTTGAAATTTCAAGTTCTTGAAGTTCGAAACAGAGGTCAAAAATTTAATTCTATGATTAATTCAATGTTGATTCAAATGCAATGATTGCCCAAAATAAGATTACAGATGTAAGTTTCATACTATCATGATCCATGGTGCATAAGTGTCCCATAAGGTTATTCCAAAAGAAATTATTAATAAGGTTAGTCCTGTTGGCTGTCAGCCGAATAGGAGTTACCGAACGGCGATGTATACAAACAATAAACTCAAGCTGATTTCTGTACGTCTGTTAAATTCACGCTTGTCAACGACAGGCCTCTGGCATGATATAACGCCGCGTTACGTGAGTTTGACGAGAGGGTGGTGGCCAATCGTTTGTTCCCCGATTAATCTGGCAAGATTCGTCGAACCGAGCTCGTTCCACTAATATTTCAATAACCAAGAAACTCCCCCATGAGAAAGATTCGCCGTGGAACGAACGCATTATCGATAGAAATTCCTCCAACTCGTAGACAATTGTCTCGTTCCTCAGAAACGTTTTGTTCCTTCAGCTTCCAGCATCTTCAAACATTACCGGAATCGAGCCATTGCATAATATTAAACGCAGGATTACTTAATATTACTGCTGTCAGAGCTTTTAATAGTTGTAGTTGAATAGTTTATATTCAACTCACGAATTACGTAAACCAGAGGGTAAATGTTCCACGTTATAAAGGGCTACACTTTTCTACATTGTCATTTTAACTCTTTCTCGGACCGTGAAGATCGTAACAACACCCCAAATTTAAATTAAACATGCCATACTAATCATTTGGAAATTTGTATAATATTTTATTGTATTATCAAGGTTGCAATCAAAATCAATAACTCCAGGGAACTAGCTGTGGGGATAAATTTGGAAGGAGAATTGAAATACATAAAGTTTCTTTGTTATAGTGTCAATTTTTTATTTTTAAAATAATTACAAGAAGTGTATCCTTCAAAGGTCCAATTTCGCAGGTCATCGAAATGGAATTCATCGAAGCTTCGATAAACGTCGATTTATCGAACCGTTCCGAATTCATCGTTCACTTTCTTGCAGATTGACAAGCAATTAATCATGTGTCGTTCAACGTGCTGGCTTGTGCACGAATTCCAACCGACATTAAGCTCAATAGCAATGGATAGCGCGTTCGACGTTATACACGGGAGCGTGTAATTAATTCATGGCTGCAATTAGCGCCTGTTATCGACGTTACATCGAAGGTGTGCGCTTCTGTTGCAGCCGTACAGAATGAACGGCAACCAAGGAACACTGCCACCATCAGACCAGAGGCTCTCGTCGAAATGGACCAGGAACGAGCGTTACGGGAAGCTGCGGTGGCCGTCGGTGTTTTTGGGTGAGTCACGTGTATCTCATTCCTCTAATGAAAGCGTTCACGTTGCTATGCTTTCTATCAGAAGTTGCTAATTTTAATAAGAATTGCTATTGTTTCTCGACAAATTTCACTAACTTGGTTTCAATAAACAATATATCGATTACTTACTTCGATACTTTCACAGAAAGTCCGTGTCACACCATCTTTTGTCACAAAAGATCCATGTCCTATTGTACCCTAATACAATCAATCCTTATCGCGAGGGATGAATATCAACCATGATTCAGATTCGAATTCTCGATGAAAAGAAACACCTTTCGCTTGAACACCATCATTATCATTGTCACTATGTACGATCAAAAAAGCTTCGATCAAAGTTGACAAGATATCCTTGCTCCACATCCGCAAGGCGTGAAGTACATTTTTCACGCGGAACATCCTCGCATGACGCATAGACGTGATGAATTTTCCAACGATCCACGGGGTCAAGGAAGGGGGGATTAAAGGTAACAGCGAGTGTACTCGGGATCGATAATCGTCGATTCACCGGGAAGCAAGAGAGCCGGCGATGTTGTTGGCACGTTTGATCTTCTGCTGGACAGCAGCATACTTTTCGCCGTCGTGAGCAAGCGCGCTCGCGACACGCCACGCCGAGCGTGATCTATCATGAAAAATTACCTTTGACTAGTAGCCCGTGGTTGACCGTTTTTCAGGTAACCGGGTACTCAGGTTGGAACTAATGGAAAATCCATAGAGCGCCATGGGGTGAAGCGTTAAAAGCGACACCGAGCGTGCCGATGCTCGGCGTCGATAAACGCCTTCTAGAAATTATCAACGCGACTTTCTTTTGACATGCGACATACATTGATATACATCAATCTTTCATTTCCTTTTCACGAGAATTCATCGATAGGTCGATAGAATCGCTATGAATTTTCTGTCTTTGATTATGGAAATTTTCATGGAGATTATAATTGTTCTACGTATTGATTTATCATCATCGATGGACACCGTTTTTAGAATAAAAGTTTGAAAAAGGACGAAAGTTTTTGGTGCGTGAAATTTTTGCCTCTTTTTAGAGGAAGTCATCATCCCCTGACACAAATGATGATATGAAGATATCTTGTACTTTAAGAAATGTACTTCCGTCAAACTACTTTAGCAACATCAATTCTGATAGATAATGATGTCGGTATGAATGAAGACAAATATACGTTGTTCAAAGAAGCTACGATTTTGAGTGATTTTCAATAGAGCTAAAGGTATATTGATCGGAGAATAAAAGGCTCCTTAGAGAGGATTAATTTAGTTTCGCGTTTATGTAAATACCGGGTATTGATGAACAGAGAACTATTGTCTGTAGCAAATATGTCCCGTGCAGTTTAATCAGACATTTCACCCTCTTGAACTTTTCTTGTCCATTCAATAACGGTAAATCGAACATTCATGTTATATAAATTTAATCGAGTGTTATTTGTATCTTAATCTATGGTGATTCTAACAGAAACCTCGATCAAAGCGGAATAAAATTCGACATGTACTAATTGAATGGAAAACCCGGAACAAAGCGGAACAGAATCAAAATCATTGTGTCTTAAATATACATAATAAAAGACGTTTATTTCAACTTTAATAATAGAGCTAAGAAAAACGTGACGATACAAATCGGTTTCAACGCGACTGGTCGTTCGACGTTACCTATCTATATCTTTTCATAAACAAAAGGTCTTCGTCGACCTTTCTTCAGCGCATTCTATTAAATTATCTGCTTCGCGAAACGAAGCTGGACACTTGAATCGATCAATTTTCTTACTATTATCATTTTTTTTTTTTTTTAATATCTTTCTTTCACATTTTTATATTGCCCTTCTAACGTCTGTCCATCCCTTAAAACTGTTTCAACGCGGTTTCAATATTCAACGCGAGTACTTGTGGTTTCTATATGTATTATTTGTATAAAATTCATAAATACCGCAGCCTCGTCCCTGCATCTTCTGTAACGCGTAATTTCTAATCCACGTGAGTGCAGAATTCGAACACAGGCTCTCCTTGAACGATCTGGGCGAATAATGCCCTGGCTCTAGCCCGAGGAGACATCTCTTTATCGCGATACAAAACGCTCTCCAAGATCGGTGAACGAACGTCCACGGTGTCACCTATGTTCCTTTCCATGTGCATGGTCGAAATTGGAGCCACAGAATTCCTCATGTCGCTTTCAGACTTGGCGAACTTCCTGACAGGTTCAGTGTACCCGATGATTTCATCCTCGTCGGTGTCCACGACGAATCCTCTCCTCAGGTTCTCTGATTTCGTTTGTCGAATGACGGAGGCGACTCGTCTCTTGATGTCAGCCTTAACAATGGCCGCCTCGGTTGTCTCTCTTCGGCTAGCATTCGGATTCTTTGTCACGCTGTCCAACATCTCCAGTAGACGATCGAAGGAGGTGCAAATATCATCCAAAGACTGCTGACTAAGCAGCACGAATCCGTTGGTTTCGTTCTCCTTGTCCTTCAAAGTGTTCTCCAGTTCTATCAGATTGCTCTTCATAGCTTGCAGTTCCTCTTCAGCGGCCTCGCGACGTTTTCGTTCTTCCGTTAACAGCACACTGCTGTTTTTAAGCTCCTCCAGGAGACGGTAGTGTTCCGATTTCGCTTCCATCAGTTGAACCTGGATATTCTCGATCCTGGCGGAATCCATCTCCATCTCCAAACTACGGGCCATCTGCGTAGCGGCATCCACTTTTAATGGATTCACGATCTTCGACGATGTCCTCTCGCTGTCCGGCTGAACACTGTCCTCGTAAGTCTGGTCATCTTCTTCGTTCTTCATCGTTTCGTTTATCACGGGTTTGATACGGGATTGAAGATCTAAGTGGAGAGTGATTTTCGATTTGGTTTGTCCATTTTGAACTATCTGCTGTTGCTGTTGCTGTCGTTGTTGTGCTGCTAAGTTTTTAAACCCTGGACCATTGAGTCTCGTCTTCGTCTTCTTCGCATCGTTCACAGAATTAACCGCTTTCCTTAATGGAGCTTGATAGGGCCTCTTCATGTACTCCACCACGGCGCTACGTGGTCTCATCAGAGGTTTCCTATTATTTTCTATCTCGTTTCTCTTCCTGTTGCCTGCTGATATCACTTTCCGATCTTGCTGAGGTAAATTTAGCCATCTGTACTCGCACTTTGTATCAGAATTGTTCTCCTCCAAACGCTTGATTATCTCCTTCACCAGTCTCTCGTTCAAATTTACATTCTGTCTCACATCGAGAATATTCAGGGTGGTGTTGTGATCTAGCAGCTCCAGGAGATCCTTGCCGATCTTATCGGACAATCCACAACGCTGAAGATCTATCGCTTTCAACCACAGACTGTCTCTGATAGCCTCGATCAGCTCCGTGGCTGCTGTGTCTCCTAACTGAGGGTTGTCGTTCAAAGTCAGTCGACGCAACCCTGGCATTGCCTCGAGATTCGGCTCCTGGTACCTCAGGGACTGCTTCCAAGTGTCGTGGTACAGCAGCAGCTTCTGTCTGGACAGAGCAGCCGCCAAGGCTGGTCCGCATTTGCTCGTCAGATCACAGTAGCTGAGGTTCAGTGATCTGATACTTGGTACATCTGCCACTGTTCGGCACAGCAGCTCGCAAGAGTTGTCTCCGATGTAACAACGCTGAAGAGACAAGGAACGAACAGTGTTGGTGTGTGATAGACCCACGCACAACACTGCTAAACAATCCGGGGGAAATGGTATGCCCTCCAGCTCCAGGCTAAATAACGTTGGCGAATTTCTAATGCACTGTCCGACGCTATGAGATAACCACTCGAGAAGATAACGAGATAGTACCACGGGTGCCTTGCCCATCGTTCTTGCTTTGTCCTCCGAATTTATTTCCTCCAATGGTTTGCGACATTGATATCTACTACGAACACTGATCGATCGCAGACTACGATCGAGGGACAAAGAATTTAAAATCGGACCCCAATCGTCCATTTTCACGCGATCGGTGGTGAAATCTAAACTGTGGGGCAGTGTCACACAGATGACAGGCAGTGGACGTAGCCGTTGCTGCTTACACAGTTCCATGTAACAGTTGGCGAAGTTTCGGCTGTTCGGAAGCGCCATTCTTGACGATGGAACGGCCAGTGGCGCGTCCACCATGCCCCCACGTCTCGTTGCGGTCTTCGTGTTCGGTGGCAACGCGACGGCTATCGTTACCGTTCAAAGATGTTGGTTCCTGGAAGAATGAAGGAGAAAATAATTAAATTTTCTGCAAATTTTCGTTTTTAACAAAGAGAATGAAATTTATACCTTCGTGTTTGCTGCCTCGTTGGTACCTTAACCACAATTTTTCCACGCACCGTCATCTGCGCTTTCGACTTTTCCAACGATCCCGACGGAAATCGTTTTCGACGCTCGATACAAAGAATTAATCCCCAGAAGACGAAAATCGCGTTCCTCTTTCCTCGTTCACGACGGTTTTCGCCCACCTACCTAGCCGAAAACGGGAAAACGAAATTCCTACGCGACATACGCTGAATATATGCAAACAAAACTCGCGATTGAATAAATTAAAGTTGCATCGAATCGTTTGTTATCGATACTGTGACTCGATAATTGATTGGCGTTCCATGAAAATCATGAATTATTTTTGCTTCATATATCAAGTATTCTGATAATTTGAAGTTGAAGTCAGAGAAGAATGCTAAAAATTTTTTACTAACATTCCTAAAAATATGGTTTTTCAGACCACCTGTGTCTCTGGCCATGGCGAGATACACGACACCATTACCTTTACCCACGGTTGCGCCCACCACAAATTCGGCAAATCCTCCAACACCACCTCGACAAGATAACGAAGACGGTACATATCAATTTTACATATGTATATATTTTCCTAATCATCAATTAATTTGCAGAGAACATTTCCAGTTGAAATATAAACGAAGTACATAAAATTTCCCTTATTTTCAGAAGGTAATTTTGGTGAAAATGATCTTGAACGATGTTTCCTAATTCTGTTCAACAGGGAATGCTTCGGAGGACAGCATAGACGTGACGAACGAGGAACCACTAACGCCTCAAAGAAGTGGTTGCACGCAAATTCCGCCTGTGATCCCGTCGTTGTACTCGCCTGCTAATGCTGAAACAGTCTACGAAACCAGCGCGAGGTTACTCTTCATGGCGGTGAAGTGGGCCAAGAATCTTCCCTCTTTCGCGAGTTTACCTTTCAGAGATCAGGTATCATTAATAAATTTCAAAATCCAAAGAGTGTAATAATGAATTTAATAAATGGTCTCCTTGATCCCAGTTCAAAAAATTCTATCCCAGATTCTTTACAAAAATGATTATCTGTGATAGGTAATATTACTCGAAGAAGCCTGGTCGGAGTTGTTCCTCTTGAACGCAGTTCAGTGGTGCCTTCCACTCGAATCGTCGCCCCTTTTCAACTCCGCGGAGCTGACTGCTCTGACTTTGTCACCGCATCCGCACCCCCATCCTGGAATCCACATGCAAACCACCACTGGGAAGCCGAGTCAGGTGGCAGCAGATGTTAGGCATCTGCACGATACCTTGCAGAGATACAAGGCCGTCATGGTCGATCCTGCGGAATTCGCCTGCATGAAAGCCATTGTCTTATTTCGGCCAGGTTAGTATTTCAAATTCTTCACAGAGAATTAGAAGAACGGATGATCAAGTGTTGATAATGGATTCTACTTCTAAAGATTGAAATGCAATTTTGATTTGTGCCGCAGAAACTCGTGGTCTGAAGGATTCCAGTCAAATAGAAAACCTGCAGGACCAGGCCCAAGTGATGCTAGGACAACACGCCAGAGCACAGCAACCGGGTAGCCCAGCACGATTTGGCAGATTGTTGCTGTTGTTGCCGTTGTTGAGGACAGTGCCAGCATCCAGGGTGGAGTTGATATATTTTCACAGAACGATCGGCAACACTCCAATGGAGAAAGTCTTGTGCGACATGTACAAAAATTAAAGGGACCTTTGATATTGTTGAACGCAATATGTTCATCGAAGGATTTCGATTCTTGTACAGTGCTGCATTCAAAGTGGTGTTGAAGATAGTTTAGACAAGGTGTTCGATGAACAGAGAAGTTCAAATGGTAATTTTCACTTCTGATACTTACATCGTTTACCAGCTTCTCATTTATGTGGACAGTTTAAGAACTTTGAAGAATTCATGATTATTCAGCAATGATCGAATTGTTGAAAAGTTAAACGTAACATAATTTAGGATTAATCGAGATTCTTTTTATAATACTGACTTCTTATTTAGTATGTATAAAGAAGAGAGAAATAAGAAAGACTTCTTTCTGCGAAAGAATCTATTGCAAGAAGGACCTGGACGATGTTAGGTGCAGTATAAGATGCTTTCAGTGATTGAACAGAGAAATTAGGGAATAAATAAGCAATTGTGCTGACCAAATAATCGAATAGGATCGTTTCTATATGTGCGATAGCTTTGGCCTAAGGACGAAGCCCCAAGCATGACCCTTTAATGAATTCACGATCTCGTCTGGTGATTTATTTTTTCCACTGGGTCGAGGTCGACTAACGAAGGATCCTTTGAGAAAGGTAACGAATTGACATCTACGATATTTAGTTAATCATTGAACGGTATCTAAGTCAAACGAGGGACTCTTAGTTTCGACGTAAAAAAGAAAAGATATATATATATACACACATACATTTATTTATTATAGAGGCGTTTATCGAACATTAGGTTCGTCGCGTTGACCAAATCATTTAGTTTCTCAGTTCTAAACATTTCATAAATTTTCAATTCCACGAAAGAAAGACGTAACAATTTTCACTGATTTATTTTTATTTTTTTGGTTTCATTGTTTTTTCTCAAATTATTTATATCTTCGATTTTTCGTAAGATAAGGTTTTCAGTGTACGAGTAACCGATATGAATTATCGAACAGCTGTAAAAATGATTCTCGTCTGTGCTTTTCTTGTATATTTCGTGTTGTGATACTATTTGCTGTAAAAGTCTAGATAATGAGTCACGTGAAGTGTATTGTAACGAGTACGTAACCACTTGTAATAAAAGTACACATGCGTAAGAATCGTGCAACAACAATTTCAATTTCCTCCCCAGTGATTATAACAAGTTAAAAAATTTCACGTAAATAGTAACAAACGTAAAGGTCCCAATTTCGTGAATTAATAATCATATTAAAATAAGTAATTTGAATAATAAAATATTTTGTACCACCTAAAAGTGATCCCATCTTTATGGTGTCTATTTTACCATGAAAATCAAAGATCATACACCCCGAAGGACTTTAATTTCTGTTTATTTAGCGTGAAGGGGTACGGAGTGAATCCCAGTGAATCGAAATTTGACTTGGTACACGCCTGTTAGCATCCGACGTCCACGTCGGCGACGTCGAGTCACGGTGGTTGTTGCATAAACGTACATATTTATTTATCACCGTATAATCCCTGACTTCCCCTCGGGGGTTTTGCCACATGGCAGTTTGACGATCCCCAACGGAATTACCCCTCGGTCGCTTATAAATTACACCGAGGTTCGAGCAAGGTTTAAGGGCCTGCTTAAGTTGTCAAAGCAATCGGAGAGTTAAACGCCCTGCCACGGGGGCGAGACACCCTTAATACTTTTTCGATCGGAATGCTCCTTCGAGTTCGGGCCTCCCTGAAAATCGCTCTCTCGCATTTATTCCGTTATATGGGTCTTTTGTGCATTTCCATCGCGCGTGAACGATAGTGTATTTTTGCAATTACACAAGGTGCTTTGAACTTCGTGGTTAGGGGATTAGTTGAATGATGGGGTTTAATTTACTTGATACAAGGATATAAAGAATACTTGAAGTACTAATTTTTTACGTGGAAAATAATTACGAAAGGAAATTAAAAAATCAAAATTAAAAAATTTAATCGTTATGCAATAATAATCAAAAAGCAAAGATCCGTGGGGAATGTGTCAACGAGAGAAATGCAAGAAAATACTCACATTCGTCGAAACCATTTCAAAATTCAATTCCGTTCGGTTCATGTTCGATTCGATTCTGAAACACGCGTTTGCTTCGTGACGCCTGGAGCTTTCGAGTCGAGCGTTCTCGCGCTGCGACACGTAACGAATTTCGATATCCCATGGTGTTCGAGCACAAAGAGAGAAAGGGGTGGAAAGGTGACGCGGGTTACCGTGAGGGTATTCAGAGGGAGGCTGGTCATGGTATTGACTCGCTTTTGCGGATGTAGGGGCGGAGTTTTCGACCTCTTCCCTTTCCTCTGCCTCTTCCTCCCTCTCGTCGTATCACTCTTCATCTCGCTTTCTTTTTCCTTCTTCGACTTGCTTTCTCCCTATAAATATACTCTGCCTCATCCCAGCTTCGATCTGCATCCTCCGACAAACACCATCCCTCCGCTTTCTTTTTCTACCCCTCCCGATCAAATCTCGTTCCTTTTTTTTTTCGTCTCCGCGAGCTTCGACCCTCTTTCTCTCACCTGTTATCCTTTTTCCTCTTTCTAATGATAAATACATGTATCTCTGTCTAGATTCCTCCTTCAACCCCCCACCAACGACGGAACCCGGACGCTCGGGGTCGAAAGGGGATGACTCGTCGCACAGGGCTGTCAAACCCCCACCCCCGCAACGACAAAACTCCCGTTGAAGGGTGACCCAGCAATGGCGGCGGGACTTGTTGTATTTCGCTTTCGAGGTGAGCTCCATTCCCTTCTACCTTCTCGATTCTCGTTCCAGCCCCCCTCCACCCCTTGGTTGGAACAGGCTGAGAGGGTTGGCTGAAATGAAACTGAGTGGCTTGGAGTGAGGAACCTCGACGAGCCGGCACGAACGGGACAGAGGAATCGAAAGTGTCCGGGTCAGACGAGGACGAACGAAGAGGGTAGTTCGAACGGGAAGACAGGGGACGTGGTAGAGAGAGGAAAGGAGAGTCTATATCGCTCGGAAACAGCAACCTCCATTTATTTTATTACATTATCATACCAACTACGCGCTCGATAAGTGGGGCTTTAAAGCGACGGTTCTCAAATCGTTTCGCGTGAAACTTTTGCACTCCGCCACGACGAGGCTGGCGATCTTATAAGCCGACTACTCGTTGCACGGGAAAAGAAAACGGGTCGAAAGTTAATGGGTTTCCGTTGGAAAGAATCGATCGCTTTGCTTGATTCCAATGAGATCTTTTAAGATAATCTTTTTCAGACCGTCCTATGCCTTTTCCCACATTAAATGAGTAAATTTATTATCAAGTTTAATTATCAGATTTCAAATATGCAGTAAGATAACTTTAATAGAAATAATTGGAATATTTATTTTTGAAGTTATGAGAATTAATGAAAAAATGAACAATTATGACAATAATAAACGTATCTGACTCGCACTGAAATTCGAAGAGAGGAAAAAAGATCTAACGCGTTTGTTCGCCGTTCGGGAACAAATCGGAGCGAATTATTCAGCCGTTAAGTTGGATTAAAAGCAAAGGCAGCGACGTACGTATTTCTCGTCCCGAACCATTGTCATTTAATGACCATCGATTATCGCGACGAATTTAAATTTAGCCCGTGCATAATTACGCGGCCGCGTTCCAAAGTTTTGTCACTGTGAGCACGCGAACAATTTAATTGAAAACAAGCATTCAATCCGCAGATGTTTACACCATTTCATTTGACGAACACCGAACAAAATAATTATAATTTGCCGTGGGGAGCACGCTGCCGTGTCCTAATTACTATCTCTTCATAAATTATCGAATTTCTAATTAACGATCGCGATGAAATTAACAGTACATACTTTTGCAGCATTTTAATTTTATAAAATTATAATCTCCTGAATGTGTTGTCAAAATTAAATTTCACAAATTTCATTTTTTCACGAAAGTTTATAACTGCCTATAAGAAATAATATTCTTAGGGTTCATGTCTCATCGTAGGAATAGTCCATTACGATTTTCAGGGGAGCGCCGAAAAGAATCCCTTGGAATTTTTCATCGGTCCATCTCGAACTGGCTGACGTTTAAGAAATCTGACTTTCTTCTCACGTAGATCGGAGGATTACCCGAGTATTCGCCTTCGACCAGGGCGACCACTTCATTCTGGATATCCACAAACAACAGACGATTCATCCCCTATTTATCCTTTTGTTTTTCCCTTCGTCAAACCTTGTCCTTTTCGATCGTCATGTGAATGAAATATGAAGTTATTTCTTTCTTTTTATCATTGGACAAATTAAAAAATGAATTGTGTCGACTGTTAAATTCTTAGGAAGTGATTAACCCTCGGACAGCGGATCATGGAGAGACCCCTCTCCTTATTGTCTTGTAGGTCAATGATTGACGCCTCCAATTTTGTATAGAAGAAAAATGTAGGCAAATTTTAAATAGCCTTAATATTATATTAAGAAATAATTTCATAAGTAAAGAAAGAAAATAGTTCGAAATTCTCTGAAATAGCATAGTCATCCGAGTTGCATAATACAATACTTCTTGAACGACCGTCGTATGTGTGTGTGTCAGTTATTCGATAACCGATTGATACGATGAACGACGGCAATGATATAAGCGCAAAGAGATATTTCTAAGCGAATGCTTCTAGGGAATGAAGCTACATCGGTCAGAGGAAACTGTCCGACCATCTTCATCCCCTTGTCCTCCCTTATTCCTCTCTCTAACCTCCCTTTCCCGTAAAATCAATAGGTGCGTCGGCGTCCAGCACGCTAGGAATTCTGCTATATAACCTCAAGCGATTAACTAAAATCGATCAAACGCGACGCGCCTCGAATGCAATGAAATAAATCACCACGACCATTAAAAAAAAAATAATTTCAAATCGAACTAAAAAATTTGATGAATGTTTATAGGAATTTCGAGGCGTATAGGAATAGTAATACAGGACTTTCTCAAAATTTATAATAAATAATAATTCAAGAGTTAGTTGGATGAAACGATAGATTTTTTTTTATTTTAAAGGGTATAGAGACCCTTGACAGCTAACTATTTGTCCAATTACTGTCATTTCCAGTCGACTAATATTTGCTCGTCGCGTGCCGACAGTTCGTCAACCGTGAAGCTTGAACGACGTTGTACGAAGAATAGTCAGTCCTTTGTCTCTTTTTCGAATTAATTTCAAGGACGAGGACCTTTGTGCTTGGGGAGGGTTCTTAGCTCGTGTCGAGCAAACCCAATTTGCGTTTAAACAAGGAGCATCTTCGCATAACTTAGCCTTGCGTGAAATCCAACGTCAAAGGGAGGAAACTTCTCTTTTTAAGCTCCTCGACCTCGCAGGATTTAGAACTTCAAAGACGTCTCGAATCGAGGAGAAAAGAGTGCGAAGGATTTCAGGGTGCGTTCAAAAAAATATTTCACGAGCAAACAGAAGGAGGTATTAAATAATTATACGAAACGTTAATGGATATGCAATTATTTTTTAATTTGACTAGCAAGTTTTTAATACTAAAATTAATGGGGATGATAAAGTTCATTTAATATTTGAAGTATTTATTGCAATTTAATATTTTAAAATACTTTACATATCTCAATGCAATCAAGTTCCTCAATGTTATGAAATTAAAGATTTTTTTTGTATTTTCTCCTCTAATTAAAAGTATGTATCAATAGCGTATTTTTTCACATTTGCAATGTTCATAATTTAGGAATTTTTTAAAAATATCGTACCTACAGTAAGTTAAGAAGATCTTACCTTCGATTCTTACCTTCAGTAGATTCAAACCAACTGCCAGTAAAATATTGATTTATCTGCTATCGATAACCATTAATTAAATTAGAAACAATGTGGTATTGTAGAAAAAGTAAACGACACTTTATATTCCCATTAGTGCACCGCTAAAATTATTAATTCCTCGAGGAAAAGAGAATTTTTTATTTTGTGCATCTCGTCATTCAATATTAGATGGCGCTTGCAGTACTGTTTTCAAAATACAATCATATATATAATTTTTAAAAAATATATAAAAATGTTGTTAATAAAATAATATTTTCAGCTTAGTTTTAATTTATTTTTAAAAACCATAGTATCTGCCCTTATATATTAAATAATTCCAGAATTTATATTTAAAATTCAAACTTTATGTTTGGGGCTCAAAATAAAGATTTTTTCCTGAGGAATTAATTTATATTCGATTTGGGAAATAATTTGAAATAATCTGAATATACGAAATATACGTTTTCTAATAAACATTTATTATATCATAAGATACATTTGACTGTACAATATAATTAATTTTGAATCAAACACTCAAGTTTCTCACATTTTCATATTTTCGTACACTTTCAAGGAGTTTCTATATTTCCCAACTCGTTCACAAAAATGTGGACTTCTATTTGGAAGGACGCAATCAATGTTGCTTGTATTTTGATTATCTCTTTCAGGAACTTGAAGATCTACTTTCACTAAATTTTCAGGATACCGTTCATTGTTTAGCTGTGAATCTCGTTGTTTTCCAGGTGCTGGTACTGTCTCCAAAATTGGCGGCGACTTCCTAACGAACAATCGTGTCTTACAGACTACTAAGACAACTATAGTAATCATCAGGAACAAAGTAAGAGCCGTCAGAGCACCTACTATCCATCCTAGTTTCTCATCTGCAACAATTCAATCAATTATATTTCATAAATTAAAAATTAAATATCCAACTAAAATTTACAGTGTATTAGGAGATTAAAATTTTATATATACCTCCTAAACCATTTAATAGAACAATAGAATCACTTCCTATTTCTTCCTCCGAATTTTCTCCAGAAATAATAAAACTGCATGTCCATTGTCCCAAATCCGAATGATCTGGTTTGAATTCCAATGTGCATATTCCTGTTCTACGATCCATTTGCAAATTGTATCTAAAAATATAAAGGAGACATGGTAAAAGAATCAATATCTATTATCTTAGACGAATAAATACTCACCTCCGGCTTCCACTAATATTTTGAGAAATGTGTGTTTCAGGTGCATGGATCCAGTGACACTCTACGTTTGGCATCACCTTTTCTACTTTGCATGTAAGAATGACCATCTGATGGGGCGATGCCCATAATGCCATGGTAACTGGCTCTAAAAATCATTAATTCTTTTTGTAATGAATTTTTTTTTTTTTATTTTTTCCATCACAGGAAACGTTGCCGATTGATTCTCCCTCGATGAAAATGAACCTTGATCGACGTGTGTGCATTGAGTGCAAACAATTATCCAGTGACATTATCTGCTACAAAATTGTGAGAAAGGTATGTGTATGTGGATGTGTTGAAAATGTTCAGTGTGTATGTGCGTGTATAGCGTGGAGTATTTTGCTTAAAATAGTCCATTGAAAATCATTCAGACATCTTTATTTTTATTTTTAGAAATAGATAATATTTACAGTGGACTATTTCAAGTGACATAGCTGTCTGTATGTGTTTGTTAGTATCGAAGGCAATGGGAATGAGGAAAGCCACAATGACGTTTTCGTATTACCATTTATTCAAAGAAATCGTTTACAATGCCGGAAAGAGTGACGCTGAAACGCGCAAGAAATTCTCGAATCGCTCGCTTTGGAAACTTAACAAGTAACTCAATGGCACACGAAGGTATTTAACTAATTAACTTCAAACGAAAGCGTTCTACGTTTGATTATTGCACGCGTATGTCGAGTAAGGCCCTGTCCACCAGCTAATCAATAGTAATTAATCAATAATTACTAGCTAATTTCTCCCCTCTGCTTAGGATCAATAGTGATCAATAGCGTGGATCGGGCCCGAGACGATCGTCGCAACCGGAAATTTTCAATCGACGTGACGAATATCAGTTGTGTCTTTAATGAACACGATAATTAGAATTATTATTATCGCTTTGCCGTCGATTGATTAATAGCAACACCTCAAACGGGACGCTTAACTGTAAGAATTGTCTACTTAGCGTTAATTTTAGCATACAGCTGAGTATAATGAATATATAGTAAGTGCGTATCGTATTATTCTAAATAAAAGAAACCTGCTTTATCGTGGACTCTTTCGTAGTGTGGTAAAGGTTTGACTTTTCATTTCGTTTAGTAATACACGTGACTACGAACTTGCGATTCGTTCTTCATGACATATTTAATCATAATTAGAACGTCTTGTGAACGATCTACTTCGCTTAACAAATAAATATTCTTAGCCTTAACGTTTAAATTCCATGCATAGTCTTTTAAATAATTACTAGCTAACGCGCTTCGAGATTAGCGCAAACGTTTTCTTTCTGCCCGTTTCTGCGGCAGGACATTTAGGAAAATTGTTCTGCCGTTCGTCAAAACGAGTCCTGCGAATCGAACATAGTTACTTTGAAAAAAAATTCTCGGGTTCGATTCACTGATATTCTCAAACTCTTCTCCTAAGAGTCGGTGATATTCGATGACGAGAATCTTTTCAAAGCTCCGAACGATTTCCCTGTCAATAATGACTTGCGACAATAAATAACACGAGGAATGAGAATAAATGCAACGGCAGAGTGCTTGCGAAAGGGTTTGCACGTACACTTGGGGGCAAAGGGGGCTTCCTCAGTCTTAGGGGAATCTTAGAAACTCATTTTCCTTCACTTTTTTTTAACTAAGAAAAGCCTACGTTGCACCCAAGTGTACAGTTCCCTAGAGAAAATGACGACGTAGAAAAAGAAGGTACCGCCATTTTTTCCAGAGAAACCTTGCGAACTCAGTTTCACGTATCTATTAACGCTACTAACTATGCTAAATGCGAAATCATTTGAACATAGACCTACCGTTGAGCATATAAATAAGAGAGGGTGAACGACATTGAGTGATAGATGTTATATAACGATAGGTGCGTTACATTTTCGTTTTTTCATCTTCTGAAACGTGTCATCGACGTCATAAAGAATGCATATTTATTAAAATAGTTTAGTGAGCACATGTAGCCACGGAAACACGTATGCCCGACACAAACGAGACGTAGTAGTTAATCATACAGGTGAAATAATTGCCACTGATGGGACATAATTTTGTTAGATATGTTATTCAACGTTTCTTCTAATGACACGTGTGATTGCAATGAACGAGCAATCGACTCGTTAATTACCAGGCTTCGTGACAGCACCGAGGCACGGCGATTCATTAAATCTACGCGATTCAATCGTGGAATGTTCGAAGTAATTATAAAGTGATAAATTAAGAAAATCTAATACTAATTGATGCAAATTGTGATGGTAGACGTAGATGGTAACACTTTGCATGGTAAATAGCAAAGAATTCTTTTTATTTTATTTTCAAACGTAGAAAAGATTCCTTACGATTAAATAAAAATGAATTGATCGTTAACATTTAAGAGAGAATATTATAATAATACTTGAAAGAAAGTGTCTATCTATTGATAAAAATGAAACGATCTTTTCCTTTATTTTTTCTTTCTGTCTACCTGTGTAAATGATGATCGTAAATGATGACTGCGTCTTTAGAGACAGTGTTTCTGCATACAAAGCGACACACAGATGTAAGTACACATTGTTTCGAGGCTCGAAACGTCATGCAGATGCCATCACCATCATGGCGCCTCCACCCGCAACAGTCTTCGGGGAATCCACGCGTAATTAATTCCATATTTATCAAGATCCGTGATCGATCATCAATGTTTTCACCCTTGCTACGAATTCCTCTGACCTAGTATCGCGTGATAGCGATCGATTTTATTGGACACTTTGAAAGCCAATCACTGATTCTTCGACGGTGTCCAGTGACGTTCTTCCATAGGATATCGATCACAAACGTGAATGTTTGCTACACGATACATCATGTATACACGCCGTACAGGATGAGTCACTCGATGATTGTATCTGCATGTTTCATAAAATACGAAGGTTAAGAAAATGATACGATTGTTATGATAAGAATTTATCTTTCACAAAGCTTTGCAATTTGCATTTCACTGTAAAAACAAGAATAGATCATTCTTTAAATTACTGAGCAAGTTAAACTCATCCTGTACGTTTCAAATATATACACAACACACATCCTTCAGGATTTATATAGCTCGACCTGCAGTCACAGTTTGAAGCTTTCACGAATTTCGTAGAACTACATGGACCAGGGATCCGAGGATCGATGATCGATCGAATGATGCTCAATACCCTCACCTGGTTCCAGCAGACTCAGCTTGGCTGGAGGGGCATCAGTGTAATTCTGACTGCCACGTATCCTCGCGCCACAGGTCCATAATCCTTCCTGTTCCTCCAGAGCGTAAGATAGCCTCACACTACAGTCTCTGTCTTCATTTCCAATAGGAGGAAACTGTTTCACCACCACCGTGGTGTTCGAGTTCACTGGGGTCAGGGACCATCGACACTGCTCCACCGCTGAGGACGTCATGCAACGAAGGAGGACACTGCTGCCTTTGGCTATTTGGATGTCCTGCGACAGCTCCGAGAATTTTACCTCGTCTGCAGAACGATGAAACCATTTAGAGTTTAAATTTCCAACACTAATTCATTTGTATTATTTCAGGTACCTTGCTCGAAGACGATAAGCTTCACGTAAGGAGACGTCAGAACAGTGTTCAGGGAGCTTATGGACACCTGACAGGACCACTGACCCTGTTTCTCAGCGTACACCTGGGCAAGAGTGAGCGAGCAGTCTCTTCCAAGGTCGCCGTTGCTTGGGAATTCTTGCACAACGATCTCGGAGTCACTTCCGTGGAGCGGTTTCCAGGTCCACGTACATTTTTCAACGCGGCTGCTCGTTACGCATTTCAACGTGGCCTCGGTACCGATCGGCACGGAAGTGTCAGCTGGCATTTCAACAAAGTTCACTTTTGCTGGAACATGGATAGATCGATCGATTAGAAGCACGTTCTGTCACACGGAGTCGCGTGTCTTGCTTGCTAATCTTAAGTTTCAGTGAATTTTAAAAACGTCCTGGTCTACCTGATCGATTGGACAGAAATCGATGGAAATTTAAAGAGGTTCTCAATGATGAAATATTTATACCTGTAGGTAGGAGACTGACAGTCGCAGGAGGTGCTTCATGTAGGATTCCATCCGGAGACAATCGGACACCGCAGGTCCAGAGTCCTTCCTTCTCGTACAGGATGTTTTTAAATCGTACAGAACAATCGTGATCAGTGTCCTTATTTGGGTTGAATTTTTTAACTAACAGAGGCTCCTGACTGGAATTCGTAGACCTCCAGGACCACTCGCATTGGACCACAGGTTTGTTTACCAGGCATCTGAGGAGCACCGATTCACCAGGTGCTATCTGAATTCCTCTGGACAATTGTACGAACTCGACTATAAAACAGAAGTATGGCTAAGTTTAGTTTACTTCTTACTTGAAATCCTTACCACAGAATTTTCATAGGAACAGTCGAGTTTTAATTACCTTCTGAAATCACAAATCTTATAGGATTCGACTGAGTGAAAGAGGAATTTGGACTGACTCTGGCACCACAGGTCCAGTGTCCTTCTTGCTCCGCCAGGACATTCCTAAATTTAATACTGCAGTCTGTGCTATCATTGCCAAAGGCTGGGAATCGCTTCATCTCCAAGTTCCATGGCTGAGATTGATTCAATTGTCGCCAGGACCATTGGCATTCACGAACTGGAGACTTCGTCTGACAAATTAATTGCGCTGATGATCCTGCTGGTATTTCGACAACGTTATCGAGTTTGGAAAATACCACCATCAAACCTGAAAATAGATAAGTGTCTTCTCTTATAAATCGTTAATGATTTAAAATTATAGGGAACGTGAAAGTCAGTAAGTCGTTAATTTTATGTTTATCTTTATTTATTTTCGCACTGATGAGTTTTATAATGTCCAATCGGTACCTTGTTTCTCGTTAACGATGCCCAGCTTAGCAGGTTCCGTGCTAGTGAAAGAATCATTCTTAGAGGATCTCGCAGCGCAGGTCCAATATCCGGTCTGCTCGTGCTTCGTGCTCGAGAATCTGACAGAACAGTCGTTGCTATTGTTCCCGAAGGCAGGAAATTGTTGTACCGGCAACGGATTGGTAGTCGGCGTGGCTGTCGTCTGAATCACCGAGACCGTGGTGGCTATAAATTACAAGCAAACTCCAATAAATACGCGACACACGAATGCCGCTGAAAACATCAGACCTGCCTTGTAAACCTGATCGTGTTTCACTTTGCACACAGCTGTAGGGAAAAATGGAACTCTTCATCCATAATTGAAGTATAGAGATCTCATGTAATTAATTTGATATTTAATTACTTCCAAAGTTAGCTTAAGTCTTCGAGAGCTTAATGCGACATTTTCTAATTTACAATTTAATCTCTAACGAATGTCGGGCTTAATAATGTATAAATGTAGATAGCACTAACTTGTCGAAGTCGCTGGGCTTTCACTGATATCCGGAAGAGGCAAATGAACCGGTGGTAAAGGCTGCCAGGACCACTGGCACTCGGCCACAGGATTTGCGGTTCTGCATGCCAGAAGCACCGACGAACCAAGTTCCGTTTCCGTGTGTTCCGGGACGTCTACAAATACCACTGGGTTCGGTGGTACTTTTGTTCCCGGCAGGACATCGTCCATCAGATGGCCTTGAATTTCAGGATCATCGGACACCGTATTATCTATCGTAGTACTG